CCCCCCCCGGCCCCCCCCCCCCCAGGAAACAAGCTCCGCCTTTATATCCAAGTCACACTTTACCAGAGTGCAGCTCCACCTCTTTATATCCCTGGATATAAAGTTCTTAAAGTTCCAAAATTTAGTAAAACATTCAAAGGGAATGGTTTAATAAAACACCAGTTTTGTGCTAAAATTGATATTTTTTTTTATCAACTTTATTAAATGACTTCTCAAGTGGCTCAGATATTCCTATATGATGCTATGATTTCCGTCCCATGTTGTCTTTTCCTTTATTTCACTTACTGTACTGCTGCTGAGAGTTTACTTACTAGAATATGCTAGAGGTAAAACTTCTATAAGACGCACTTCATGAATAACTTGATATTTTAATGCATTTTCATGGGGACACATAAGTGTAATAAGCCATTTTGAAACATGATATGTTTTGAAAAATTCAAGTAATATTTAACCATGCTAAATGTCCTATAATCATATTAAATACAAATAACTTTTTGATCACATTTTTATTTTGTATTGCTAGTGGTAACATAACATGCTAACAAATATACATACTGTGTCTTTCAGATTGTCATCAAAAATATAACTAATAAACTAATGTACAGAGTGGCTAATTCAGGACCCCCCTCCCTCGATCTGCTCTATACCCTACAAGGCTGCCTTACCTCTCTGATTCTGAATTAATCCCTGGGAAGGACTGACCTCAAACCGCCTATCAGAGTGTGATCTCAAAGGCCAGAACCACACTTGTCATAATGCCACCTTATGATCCCATTATTAACGATGTTCTGGAAGGTACAGCTTGTGAAATTTCTGTCCACCACAGGGCAGGTGTGGTGAGAGCAGATCTCCTTCTGCTGGGAAACCGCTTATTTACTTGCGTGATGGTGGTCCACCAGCGCCTTCCAGAGCCAAACTCTGCACGTTTTCATAAGCTGTCCTTGACAGGCCTCCCTTTGCATCTGGGTTTGGTTACACCTTTTATTTGCCTAATGGAAATGAGGATGGAGGAGTTAATCTCCCCTTGGGGAAGTGATGTCATCCCATGAAGGGTGAGCATTACCCCAATTCCTCACCTTCACTCCCATCTTACTCCTGCCTCTCCCATCTCTCCCCTGCCCTCCCTCGCATCTCCTGTATCACTTCTGATTCTCCCCTGTCCCGTCTCACTCCCTTCTCTCCCATTTCTCTGCTGTCTCACTCCCATCTCTTCCCTGACACTCATGTCTCCCCCCTCTCACTCCTGTCTCACTCCCGCCTCCCCCTCCTGTCTCACTCCTGTCTCTCGTGTCTCAGTCCCGTCTCACTCCTGTCTCTCCGGTCTCAGTCCCGTCTCACTCCTGTCTCTCGTCTCCCCCCCATCTCACTCCCATCCATCTTAGTGTTAATCACCGGCTGCCTTTGACCCCCCCCCCCTTAAGTGCTGTCAGATAAAACGGCGGCAGCAGCTGTACCCGACGGGCCCAACGGTGCCCCCTGCATCGGGCTGCCGTCACGGTAGCTGCCAGACACAGCCGTATCACCCGGGGATTCCCAGTGCTCTGATAGAGGAGTCCAGGACTTCGGAACTGGGGGGCAAACTCTGGGGGGGGGGGGGGGGGGGGGGTGCTGTTTGATCCACTTCCATAATCGGATTGGTCCGCAGTGATGTCACCCCATTTCAGAATGAGGACAGCCTAGCCTGTGTCTGAATAGAGACGGCTGCTCAGGGGGGAGCTGATCGCATTTGCCGGCATCCCCGCACGCCCCCACATCCTCCTCAGGGCCGAGCTGCCCCCCCCCACTGTGGATCGCGCCTTGCAGAGTCACGACGGGATCGCCTCACCCCCGCCTGCCAGTCAGTTTATCAACGGAGCGGAACACTGCACAGAGAGGCAATTATAAACCCCCAGAGATGATATTTCATAAAAGGTGAAAAAAACCACATGAGTGACATTTCTCATTTTCACACTTTTTGGGGGACATTTAGTACTCTGAGGAATCCACTGCGTCATACCGGTTAACAGAACGCTGGCAGGGTGATGCCCGCCCCCCCATCTAGCCATGCTCCAATAGGGTCACGGCAAGCCTGCCAGTCCAATCTCAGGGAAGCGCTGGGACAAGGTGCAAACTGCACACAGGGCAGGGGGGACAAGTGAGTGGTTACATTAAGTAGATTCTTTTATATAAAGTACATTTCTGAATACAGAGGGTCACACAGGCCCTGGAGCAATTGGGGATTAAGGTGACATCACTCTTCTGCTGATCGTGGGATTTAAACCAGCGACCTTCTGATCACACGCACCAAGACCTGGCCTGCAGAGCCACGCACCACCCACTGATTCCAGGGGTGTGAGGTTACAGTACCACCCCCTCCTAATCCCATTTGTAAGGTTTGGACTAAGCACTAATCCAGGAGTACTTTCCCAGGTCAAGCGTAGGAGGAAATCGACCAGCTGGCGGCTCTCACTGTCACGTGCCAAGCCAGGCGTGAGGTCGCTACCTCGACGGCCTTGTGCAGTGAGCAGGGAGTCCAAACAGGGGAGACACAGCCTCTCACCTGGACTCTGACATTATGACGTCACCAAACATAGTTAATTACAATAAAACAGTGAGTATTATACTTTTGAAGGTGTTTCAGGGGGCACCTTGGATGTGATGCCGGTCTATTAGAGGGGACTGGGCAGGGGACACCCTGGCCATCTCAAAGCACAAGGCAGGGGACACCCTGGACGGGATGGCAGTCCATCATAGGGCACAGGACATGGGGTTGTTCTGGGTGGGTCTCCAGTCCATCACAGACATTTAAAATCATCTTATGTATGCAGCTTTGTGAGCTCACGCCATACTGCTGGGTCTTGTTCCTTGTCCCAGTTTTATAAGGCAGATAGAGTTTCAGGCTAAGTAGAGCTGTTTCTGTAACTCTGTCGTCCCCCTTGAAATTCAGGCAGCATATCCGCGTTGTCCAGCCACCTGGCCTGCTGCTCATTGGCTATTCTGCAGGGTTTCCTCCGAATCGGGGGGGTATGTTTCTGCTCTGCCAAAAGAAAAGGCGGCATTGGGTTAATGCCGGCAGAAATCTTAGGGCCAGAGTGGATTCTGTGTTTCCTTTTAAATGACAAAACAGGATACAGGCTGTCCTCCTCCATGGCTTCCCCCTGACCAAGTATCTTTCACTTGATTGGTCTGAGCCCTTGTCTGTCACCCCGTGTGGGCAGCACCCTGAAATAGATACAGGTCATATTTTGACAAAGGAACCTGTACCGGCCCAGTCAGGTAGGGGCTTACAGGACCCCATTCAGCATGTGCAAATGATGAACTGGTGTTTTTGCAGAACCCTGGAGAGCCAGCGGCCCGCTTTTTATCCAGACATCATGGAGTCTCCCCCCATCCTCCTTCAGCAGAGTCTCAGGAATATTCCTGTTCACCTCCCATTCGGAATATAAAGGTGTCCTAATTGCCTGTAATAAGGCCTGTGCTGCCTGGCCGGCCGCCTCGTCCCAGGGGTAGATTTCCTGACGGTCCCTGAGCATGTGCAGCTTGTGTGTTCTCCCCGTGTGCTGTGACTCTGTGCCCACAATTCAGATACAGGTTAACTAGCGTCTCTAAATTTGATGGTTTGCGGCTT